CTTTGCAGCTCTCCTCCCCAGCAGGCCTGACATTTTCTGGTTTGCTTTCTGTGTAATTTTCCATTCCTTTTGTGTGGGGACTGATAAAATGTTGGCTAAGTTGCCCTCATTCTCCCAAAAGGTGCTGGCTCTGACAGGGTTCTTGTGTTCCAGTCATGCTCCAGCTTGTTGACTGTGTCTGTCTTACTCTGCTTCACTAAAATTTTGAAATATAATGACTTGTTCAATATTCATCTAGTGAGTTGCATGCAGGCATTTTAATTGTTCCAAGAATTTCAGGGTATGTTGGTAGGCAGAGCATTTCAGGAACGTCTTTAGTATGTGCTTTTAATCTTTGATTGTGGAGTGCGGGTATCAAATAATTGGAAATGTAGAGTTAAGAATAATTATTTTATTAGTATCAGTTAGCAGTCAAGAAGCATATTACATTGGGGTTCGCTTACTTTGTACAAGTTGCTGCTGACTTTGTGTGAATTACTGCTTCTTCCAAGATACACATAAACGTTCTGTTGAAAGACCTGTATATAACAAACCCAGAGTAAAGATGCCCACCTATCCCCAAGCATGGGGAAAGTATGAGTAGAAATTGATTTTTTAATTTATGTTTATCCCGACACATATTAACCGATGTAGCAATTAATGTGACTGGCATCTTCATTTGTCTGAGTCAGTTGTGCCAGATGAGGGTTTGATAACCATGAAACTGATTTCTTTTTCACCTCTACCCACTGCTAAGTGTAGTAACCTTCACAAGGGCAGCACTGAGAATTTGTCGCCTACTCAGAACAGTAACAGAAATGCTCCAAAGTTAATAAAATCCTGCCTCCATATTAGAGTAAAGCTTCAGATTTCAGTTGTCACTGTTGCAATACATAAGCTTTTACTTGGTTTTTAATAAGTAAAAAAGTTACTGACTGAATTTTTTTTTTTAAAAATCCTGTCAAGACTTTTATTTAAATTTTTAACACAGAGCCCCAGAACAGAGTCTTAGAAATATTTAAAATGTATAAACATATAAACAATATATATAAAACAATGTTTATAAATAGTTACTGAAATTCTTGAGCTGCAGAAATATAGAGTTGCCATCTACAATAATCTCATGATAATTTATCTTACAGTTTGTCAGTGGTAAGAAAAGTCCATGCATGTTCATATTTGGTGTAGTGAAGGTTTTGCTAGAGCGCTCTTGCCATACCATATTGCCATTACAATGCAGTTATAATGGAGTCTGCATAGTTGTCATGGGCAGTTGCTTATGGAGTTCACCTTGTCTTCATAGAGTACATGGCCCTGTAGGCTACAATAACAGTGACAGTCCCTTCCCTGCTCTTGGGCTTTTAGATGTGACCCTGCATCCCTTTCCATCACACACTTGTGCCAAAGCTGCTTCACACAGAACATGCCCAGGACGAGGGGGTCCCAGTACCACATCAATGCTCTTCTGGCTAACCTCGGTGTTGTTTAAGACTTTTCATCCAACATAGGGCCATTTTTTGAAGAAGGAAAACGTTAGTAGCACATGGAGTTCTTGAAATCCTCAGAGAACGGGGAATAAATGCAAGACTTCCAGATCTTCTGCACTGTGTTAATTTGGTAGCTGAAAAATGTCAGTAGTGCCTGCTTTTCCCATTTACCAGATCTTACATACAGATTTTGAGTTTCAAGTTTATAGTAAAAAAGATAAAATTTTCTTGCAAATCTGGAATTCTAAGTGGGAAGAAGAGATGAGTGGGAAGTACATTAAGCTGTTCTTTAATAAATAGCTACAGGAGCCTAAAACTATATGTTCAGTCTTTTAATTACACTAATGAGGATTTTTGTGGCTACTGTACAAGTATTTCTGGAGAGCAAGATATGTACTTTTGCCAGTTGAACATATCTATGATTTCTGTGTTGTCATAGATCAGTGTTTATCCAAGACATACTGAACAATCACTTAATGGCTATGTAGTAAATAATTCACAAATGCAACCATCTTGGAAGTATAAACCTCTGTATACTGAGTTTTCAGGTAACATTTCCATGTCTTCACTGTAAGTTTTACCATGTACCATAGCCGGAGGTTGCAGAATTCTTCATTCTCTCCAGAGAATGTTTGTGTTTTTTTAATTTTCTAGAATATTATTCTTTAAATATTTATATGACCTTCTCCATGTTTGATGTTTGTCCAGAAATTGCAATATTGCAATTTGGGTCTGGATTTCCTTATTTCTTCCTTTCTTCATAACCTCAGACATTTTTCACCTCAGCAAAGAACTGGAAGTTAAGTGTTTTGATCTAGCCACAGTTGCACATCCAGGTCTCCAGTCTGATACAGATGAAGTTTGAAACATGGTATGAATACAGTCTTCATTTGTGATAGCTGCTTTTAGAAGCATGGAATGACAGATGACTGATGGTACTTACAATGTGGAGTCTGGGAAGGAAAATAGTTAACACCAAAGCCAGCGAGGCCTGATCAGACCTTTTTTCAATAGTATTAATGTTTTTGAAATAAAAAAGGCTAGATGTGGAGAAAGGCTAGCTTTCAGAAAAAACTAAATTTGTGTTTAGAGACACAGCTAACCATCTGCCCTCCCTCCAAAACAGGCAAAGAAGAAAACTGGAAGAATCACATTTGTAAAATGTGCCTGTAACTTTTGCAGTATGGCTTCAGGTTTTTCTTTTAATGGGATTATGGCATGCCTTAAAGGTTGTATCACAAAATTGTCAGTACAAGAGAAGCCCTAAATTCATCTTATTTCCTAAGGAATAGGAAATCTCTTTTTGGAGGAGAGAAGCTCTGCCTGGCTGAGGCAAGCATTTTTTTGGAATTTTGTGGAACACAAAATGATAATTTTCAGGATAGACTTCTGAATAGTATCTCTCTTCTGCAGCCACTGCTTGGGAAGGGCTTTATTCATGCCAAAGCATTTCTTCTGAAAATTATCAGTTACAAGAATGCACAGTTCACAATATGTGAAAAATGTTTTCCATCAGGCAGTATGATAATTAGTTATTTTTCTACTACATCTTAGTTATTTTATGTAGTGAGCTGCTAGTCAGCTGGGAATAGTAACAGCAGTAATTAGCTGCAGTTTCTTAGATAGCTGTATACTAGCTAGGAAAATGCTTTTGCCTTTTAATTGCTGTGTAGAGATTTCAAACTTTATATTAGGAGCTATTTTACACTTTTTTTTTTCTTCCAATGGGTTAAACTCTCTGGTTAAATAT